ATTGTAGGATTAGAAGGTTTGGAACCTAGACATCAGATCTGATGGTTTATTAAGATTTAACTGTTTTGTGGTACAGATCAACCACTTTAAAAGTATAATTACAGAGCATTTAGCACCTAATAGAGAGAAACTGAATGCGGCTTGGAGACCATTCTGCTTCTGTAATGTATTTTCTGTAATTCTTTCTTCCTTCTCCTTCCCTCTTTTTAAATTTACTGAGACATACCTGAAAACACCTTGCATATATTACCTTAAACTACAGTACCAAATCTACATCTGCTATTATTAAGAAGAACTTGATTGACTTCCAATTATTATTTTTGTGTGCTTACCTAGGTGTGAATTTGGCCCACTTAGAGTTTGTAGTCTACTAATTTGAAATTCTTAACTATTCCAATCTGATTTTGCAAATGTGTTTTTTCACCCTAGTTGTATTTAATTAGTACACGTATAAATTAACTGTGCAAGGTGAGACTCAGTGGGATGACAGGCTCAATATCTATTTTATTGTATTAATGACCTTTTACTTAGGGGAAGATGTTTCTAATAATTCTCCCAACCCCCCAAAGTTCCCTATAAGGTATTACTTAGCCTTAAAGAAAGGAACAAGGAAAATCCCAGACAGTTGCAAGTGTCTTCCACCTCACACTGGCATCTTTGTTTCTAATAAGTAGTATATGATAGACAACAACCCCCCAGTGTCTGAGTCTCTTAATCTCCTGAGAAGGAAGGTAGCAAAAGTGAGGAACTGCTACCTCTGCCTCTTTTGAGAGTTTTTGCTTGGGCACTGGAAAAGAAAGTGGACATCTCATTCATGACCTAAACCCTTCCTGCTGTACTTGTCTCAGGATATAGCACAACCAGCCCCTACTTGTGAGTTGCTTAAATTTTGAGCCTGAGCTGTTTTTGGCTCTCCAAAACAAAACTACCCCTTCTCAAACTACTTTCTCCTTCCCTCTGTAGTGTCCATTCAGACCAGATAGATTTGTCTCAGGTTTCGTTTTTACCCATGTATTTTTATTTTATGGCACGTTCCAAATAATAGATGAACTGTATGATTTTTGCTCTTTCGCATGTTTGCTGTCAATATTATAGTTTATGTAGCACAATGAATGCGAGCATTAAAAAGACAAGGGTGCATGATGAAGGAAAACTCTGCTCTTGAGAATTGTCCCATGTATCAAGTGTGACATTGAATGTTTATTGATTAGGATGTTTTTTCCAATTAATCTGTTTTAGGATTTAACATTACAAAAACAGAAAAAAATAAAAAACCTTAAGCTTTGCTTGTATCTTTTACTTTTTCATTTCCATATATTTAACAAGCTTGATCTTGTATTGATGCCTATTTTCCTTCTTTATCATATTTGCTTTTGAAGCATGCATATAAAGTGATAACTGAAATCCTTTCTAAACTGGTATTAATTAGATATAGCAGAAGTAAAGTGTTCAATTTTGAAAATCTGATTGCAGTTTTACCAGCTGTTACAACTTTCTGTTCAGTCATTTGGATTCATTTGGTTTGGACTGCATTTTATAATCTGTATACTTAAATGTAGAAGAAAATTTTAAATTGACAAATTGGGCTTTAATGAGCACAATGCTTATATACTGCATATGCTTTCAGGCTCTACTAGGGATGGTTGCATTGTCTACTATGTTTCTTTTCCCAGGAGGTGTTTGTATATCTTCATAATAACTGAGCAGCTTCTGATAAGTGAAGTCTTCTGTTATCATTTTTGCATGTTGCATTATGAAGAGAAGCTAACTGATCATGTGTCTTCAGGAAGTTATTTCTTTGTGTATTCAGACTAACAGCTTTCATCGCTCTCATAAGCCTACACAATTCAGTGCACTGTCCTTTGTTACATTTTTATCAAATGGGTTGAATTATATTTGAGACTTTATGTGCACATAACCTGTGCAACCTTTCTTTTTAGAAAGCGCTTGTATTTTTTACTGCATTATTTTGTTGCAATAGAGTTACAAGCCAGATAAAAGGAAAGTCTTCTACATCGATAGCAGGATGTAGCTGCACAAGCTGCTTAACATTCAGTTTAGTTGTCATAAAACAGAATTTTCATGAGGGAAACTGGTAAATTATGTTCATAAATTAGTAACTCTTGACTGCATGATTTGGTCAGGTCCATGGCCCAAACAGAAAGACTCTTATTTAGTATAAGCAGGTTTTATTTGACTTGTAATATGTTTTTCAGGGCCAGCCAATAGACCAAGCTGCTATTTTCACTCAACAAGTACGACCTTCTTCCCAGCTTCCACAGTATCCAGGGTTACAGCAGGCACAGGTACTGTCTCGTTCCTATAGAACACTTGCATAGAAATTTGAAGGTCTAACCTTGTAATGCACCTCGGTGCAATTGGCCATAGCATCCCCACATCATCCTGCTTTAGATCTGCAGTAAAGACTAAACTGGAATTTAACTAATAGATTCTTGGAATTTCATTGTTAACAGGAAATGCTTCAGATCCCATGTAATTTAGCCCAACAGATTTTTTTAACTTGACAAGCTTCCAGCCCTTTCCCAGCAACACTGTGGAATTCTAGTGTTCAGCAGTGCTGACTCTGAAATTAAGCCCATCTACAGCAAGGTTGATACTGCTGCCCTTCTTCAGTGACCCATATTGTCATGTTAGGTCTGAAACTTAAAAAAAAAAAGTTTTTAATTGCAAGTGCTGAAGCCAAAAGTCATCTCATCTGACTGAAACTGCTCAGAACAAAACTGACAAAACACGAATTAAAAACTGATGTGGGTGTTGTTACAGTGCAGCTGTAAGAACCCACTGAAAAAAGAGAGAAATATGCTGTTCCTGTAGAGGCAGTTGTTTGATATAATTATGGAGCAGAATGTTTTACTAGGTATCTTGTTTGTCCAGATTTGCTATTTGAGGTTATATTCAAGTAGATTGCATAGTTATTTAGTTGCATCTTTGGTGGTTTTTCACACAGACAATGCCTCATGGATACACAATGTACAGTACTCAGATGCCTTTGCAACAACAGCAGCCTGGTGGTGTTGTGCTTTCCCCCAGCTACAACCCTAGAACTTATCCAGCAACCCATTCGAATCCAAGTCTAATAGAAAGACTGAGACAGATGCAACAGCAGCCAAGTGGGTACATTCAACAGCAAGCTGCTGCCTACCTTCAGCCTTTAACAGGCACTCAAAGGTAAGAATTCTTTTGGTTTATTACATTGGAGGAGCTGTGTAGTCTTGATTCTAATCCTGATGCTTGACTTAATTTTTGGCCCGTTAATCCAAATGAATTTACTGGTCTATTTTATGACAGTTGCATCTATCCTTTTTCCACAGTCCCCAGCCTACCCCCAAGTTTTTGTTTATACTTACTCATTGCTTTTTGTTTTCTTTCAGACTGTAAATAGTTTGTGCAAGGACCAGATTATCCCATGTGTTTTTGCAGCATCTAACACAAGTGGTCCCTTCTGTTTATACATTCCTTTTGGCTGCTACCCCAAAATAAATAATAATACATAGGGGATTTGCTAATGTAATATCTCATGCCATAAACTAGTTTTCATGCACAAGTCCTCCAGGTTTCCATAGGGAACTAAATGCCAGAAGATCTAGAAAATACAAATCTGCTTGATAGTTTAACTAGTGATCGGAAAAAATGAGTTGTTTAATTTTGATTCCACCAGATTGGTATTTGTTTGAACGTTCAATTAAGGTGTGTTGTGGTGGCTTACACATCTGCCTAAGACAGTGGTTCTTCACCAAGGTGACAAGAGACCTTTTCAGAGGCGCTGCATCACAGGCACTACTGCCTTCGTGGGTGGGTGGAACTGCCCTAAGTGTCTTGTGCTTAGCCACATAAGCTGTCAGGAGCACCCAGTCCTGCTTGCAGCCCTTCCCAGCTGGGCCCCCTGTGCTCCTCCTGGAAACAGAGGCATGTGGGTCATGTAGTGTACCTCTGCTTCTGGGAGGAATGTGGTAGGACTGGTCTGGGAAAGGCTGGAGCAAAGGTGGAAGCTCCTACCTGCTTTATCTGTTTATGCATGAGGTGCTGGGGGCAGTTCCACCTGGCTGTGGTGGTGGCTGCACCTGGTTGAGAACCACCAGGGTAAACTGAGGCAGCATAACAGTGTTTCTCAACTAGTGAGATACTACATTAAAAAAGTTGTACATGGGGTGCCCTGAACCTAAGAAACTCAGAACCACTGGCCTAAGAATGTAGACAGATGTAAAACTTTCATCAGTTTCAAAGGATCCCAATATAAGCTGTTAGAACGCAGATTAAATGTAACAAAACTTCTCCAACTTTAACCCTGCATCATTTGAAGTCAAATTAAGATGATTTAGCTCATTTGTATTGCTATAGAATCATACTAATGGCACAGTGAGATTGTGATTCATGCTCCTGAGAGGCAGCTCCTCCTCCCCTTTCTAAAGTGCCTCAAATGTGCTTTTGTCCATATGTTAGGAGAGGCCATCAGAAAAAAATGAAGCAAAGGGAAAAGCAGGAAATTCTTGTGAAAATAAAAGATTATATTGACCCAGCTCTGTTCCTAACTGAAACCATTGGGAGTTTTCCCATTTGTATCAGCAGAAACAGTGTTAGCCTACTACTGAGTACTTTGGATAATCCCACTGGCACAGTATAATACCAGTCAGTCACTTGTCAGCCTTATTTTTAATGGTGAATTATGTTCCTAATACTATGTGCCCTTTATCTAGAAATATGCATTGTTAATTGAACAATACATCCAAAATTAAGTTAATACCCAGGCCAAAAAGAAAAGGCACTTCACAAACTCAAAGCTTTGAAAATAAAAAGGAAAGAGAGAGAGAGAAGATTTTCAGAATCCCATATTCCATAAATTTCATCTACTCCTAATTGGAATGGAATGTACATGATTTAGAAGCCTGCTGTTTATGAAGATGTTTTAAAAGCTGTTGTTCCTACGCTTTCTTGAAAGTATCTCTGAGGCTGCTATGACTGGCGGGGTTCTGAGGGTAGAACAGTTGTTTGGCTTTCTTTATACTACAGATGTTATATTTCTCAGTTAGTGTGATGCAACTTGGTTGCATTTATAAGTTACGTAAGTAATCAAGCAGTCAAAATGACTAATCTGACCAAAGGAATTGGAGACATATGTTTGTAATACAGTACCTAATTTTAACTTTGTATGTTGTAGGCCAATTAGTGCATCTGAGGATAGTATCAAACTGTAAGAATAAACCTTTGTATTTGGCTCACAGTTGAAAAATATTGCTAAGGTTACTCACTTGGGCCACTGACCTACTTGCCAGTAGGGGGACAGGGGGCACACCTAAGATCATGACCACGGTGCAGTCCCCATCAGGTAATCATTGGCCAGCAGGGACCGCACTGGGGGAAACCTCAGTGTGGTCCAACCAGCCACATGTTCATTGTAAGATGCAATAGAAACCAGCCACAAAGTTATTACACAAAAAAATGTATATATACAATCATGTAGTCATGCCAAGCTGTCCTAAACAGGACTGGGCCTCATTGAACTAGATGCTGCATGAATAGCGGTAGAGGTGCTCTTATGATGCTCTGCTTGTAATTTGCCCTACTTCCCAGTTCACACTTGAATGTCCTCAGCATATAGCTAAAAAGTATGATCCTAGCCCATACATTATAGAATAACTGATGTTTACCTTTAAGGTTTAAGGTTCAACATCTTTTTTTATTTGTGACACATGAAAGATGGGTCCAACTTTTTCTTCTGATGAAGCAGAGAGAATTTTCATCTTCTGATGAAATACAAGCATTAATCAGACTTTAAAAATTGACCAAATTACAGCTATGTTTCCAAACTAACAGTCCCATTATGGACAGCAATGGTCTGTCTTAATAATCAGCTACTGATTTTGTATTATGTGAGAGAGCTCCTAAATTCGGGTGTCTGTGCAGTGTTGATACCAATACTGACACATCCTTGCCTCACCTACTTCCCATTACTGAGTGACACTGCTATAAGAATACGTTGGTTACAATTTTATTTTAACAACATGTAAATAAGCACCAGTCACCCTGAGGAAGCCTAGCCACATGCACAACATCTTAAAAACATGTCCCATGCAGAGTTTGGTTGCACAATTTTGAGAGTAATTTTGATTTAGCTATTTGGGAATCTCTCACTCATGAATTCTGGTGTCTCCTGCACATGTTCCTCTATCTGTGTCAACTCAGTTCTAATCTGTCTTTAGATCTAAATAGCTCTATGGGGACCAAATTCAAAATGGCTAACATTTCAAGCACAGTTTCATATTTTCACATGACAAAAAAATGAATGTTCAGAAGATCTAATTTGGGACTACAATCACTATTGTGTATTTGTATTGCTGTTTCATAGGGTCAGTAGAAGGATGAGTTAATGTTGTTTGGATCCTCTGACTGTTCATTTTCATACCCTAGCAGGTCTGGGTTTCTTTTTGATTTATGTTTAATGTTGGATGTATTTATATTGTGAACAGTTTGTTCTCATCTCAGATAGTTTCCATGGATTTTAGTCTAGAGAATGGCTTATGGCTAACTCAAGTTTCTGTTGCTTGCTTGGGAATTGTTATAATATTCTGTACTTTTCTTTATTCCAAAATACTGATTTGCATGCTCAAGCTCAAGTCCATTTCAACAGGTTTTGTGCGGGAGCAAAACTTAAAGCTTATGTAGGGTGCCTTCTTCCTATTTTAAATGTTACATGTAGTGTAGAAACATTTTATCTAAGGGAGGTCAAGGTGACACCTGGATATCTTTTCTATATGTAAGTTGTGGCTAGGTAAAGACGTTCCAAAAACCCATGGCAGATTTGAACTTATGTGGGTTTCTCTAAGTGGATTATGTTAGTTCGTGAGTGAACAGAACATGTGTGCGCCATTCCAGTTGTGCAGCAATCAAAGCAGTGGTGGGGATGGAGGCCCCTGCTGCATGGATCTGGACCTGCCCTCCCAGACACAGCATTCCCTCCTGCCCCCTGCCTGGCTGAAGCTGCATCTGTCCCTTCATAACAGGGTAGTGAGGGGAGGTGGGGACTGTTCCCTCCTGTGACCCTGCTTCCCTCTGCCCTTTCCTCCCTGACTTGCTGACAGTCGGCCGGAGGCAAGAGGTAGAGATAGGGACAGAGTGGGCCAAGTTCCAGCATGCCACCCTGGGGCGGGGGGAGGGGGGCGGCGGTTAGCAAGGGCCTGCAAAGGAGCCTGGGATGCTGGTAGACAGTGACCCAACTTGAAGCAGGAGCAGATCTGATACAGAAGTTTAATGGACGGGTCTAACCTAAATTGCTTAAGTCTGATACCACATTGATCCAGATCTATCTTAGACCAGGTACTGCCATTTTTAAACCAGGCTGTGCGCTGAACTTCTATTCTGTTACAGGTTTAGACTGGTTTTCGATCACTTATACCCCTTTATATGTAATGGCTGTACCTGGCCTATGATTTTTAATTTCAACCTTGTTATTCAATTATTAGTTAAGAGCTGTCTACATATTCCCATTAGATACTATTTTTCTAGACATTCACAGCTAGAAACACATTCTTTTTGTAAAACTTAATTGCATTTCCAGTATACACAAGAAGAACTTTAACCCAGAGGGTCAAATATGCACAAACTATCATCAAATTTCTGTGTAAATTATGTTTAATTCCCTGAACTATATTCTTCCTATTCAGACTGACTCATCAGCCTTTGCAGCAGAGTTCCTTGGTTGGAGGGGCACTTGAAAATGTACCATCCACAGCTCCCCACCCTAACCTTAACTCAGTACAGCTGCCTCAGGAACAGATGAGACAGAGACAGCAGCAAATTCGACAACAGCGACTCCTTCAGGTGGGAGACTCGGTTGTGTTAATAAAAATGCCAAAATTCAAATGCTCCCCAAATACGAAGTAAGTAGAAAGTGCTATCTCTTCATGTGGTAGTACTCCACACTCACTTGCTTGGATATAAATGACTATATGAGGTGAAGAACCATGTAGTCAGGACATTATAAATCTTAACTTGCATAATTTATACATCTTAAAGTGTAATCATTCATCATTCTTTAAGCTAGAATGTAGTGTTCAAAAGGGCATTTTGGCATGAACCTAATATTGAATGGTTTTATTTTTCAATGTTGTATCATGTCTTTGGAAAAGGTGAAATCAAAAGTTGACATTTTTCCTCACGGAAAGCATCATTTCCTCACAGATATTGAATTGGGGAAAATCCTTATAATAATACAATATAATGTATAGTTCTAGGTTATTAAAGCATTACTTAGTTATGAAAATTGTATATATGCTGCAGCTAAGACATGATGGATTCACTGTAAGCCTGTAACATTTTATAAACTTTGGTTTGATATATCCCCAATTAGTATTTTAAGTACTTAAACTGCTTAAAAAAAATATACATATAGGAAAGAAAACCAACAAATGGTAGAAATCCTTTTACTTCTTGTTGACCTGGTACAGCTATTTAGTTATTTTATGCTTTCATTCCAGTGCAGTAGTTGAGCTTAAACAGAATTACTGAATAAATTTTACTTAGACCTTGAGGTGACACCTGAATATATACTGCACACATAGGCTTTTAAATCCACCCCTGTCCTTTTTAAAAATTATTTCTTCACTGAATATTCATTCATTTTCAAGGGTATGGCTGGTTCAATAGTGCATTTTGCAAATGTGTAGGGTCCAGCTCCTAAACAGAGTAGTGAGGAACCCAGCTTCATCAACTGATTCAGAAGGTGAACACAAATCAGAGCTTAGAAATGTAGTAGTGAAAAATCAGATTCCTTGACATCACTCTAGAACAGCAGTATGGTGCTATAAATCCTTAAAGGAATAAGTAGCTGCTCTTGCTATTGCTCCTAATCCCTTGCATACACACTTTATTGTTTGTTACCATGTTTCTTTCAGTTACAGCAGCAGCAACAGCAGGGTCAGCAGCAGGCCCTTGGTCTCCAAGCAATGCCACCACAGCAACCTTTGGTAAGTAGACATTTTCAACCCAACCACTTTTGTGTGGGTGGGGTGATCTTATTACTTCTGGGAGCAAAGCAGAACACCTATCCAGGAAAAGTGAGGAGAAGTATGATATAAGCTTGTGCAGACCACTCTGCCATTGCATGCCGCTACTTGACATGTAGTAACTCTGTAGTGCCAACCACAGGCTTTTTCTAAGAATCTTGGTGTATGGAGTTTTATCATGTCCGTATACTGAAGAATGCCTGGAACTAGGCAAGTTCCTCATTTTTTTTTTTACTTTAATTTTTTTTTTTTTTTACTTTTTACTTAACAATGTGAAAATTGTTTGAGAGAGACCTACATCTGCTAATTACCAACCTTGTCCTTTCATGACTTGCATTTAGTAGTGGGATACATATGTAAGGCAATGATCAGCCTCAGTTTGATGTTATCATGTTACCTTTAAGCAGTTACAACCATGTTGTTCATGATAAACTCTCATCACATTGTCTTAGACTGCGTATGCCACATATTTGACTTAACATTTTTTTAATAAATGTTTGAGAATTTTTTTAAAGTATTAACAGTTCTGTTAACTTTCATATTTTATTTGCTTCCCACCATATGTAAACTAAGGGTACTGAAGGGCCACTGTATAGACCTTAGAGGGAGAAGAAAAGTGAATATAATTTTTAAAACCTCTCCAGTTTTTTTTATATTGATTTTAGTATCTGTACTTTAAACTCTATTGTATAGAAACAAGTGCTGCATACACTTTGGGAATATTGGGATCTTTTCATTCCAAGAGTATAAACCTATAGTTTACTACCCTTCAAAGAGGAAGATACGTGAATTTAACCTAGTACTAGTGCAGGACTGAATATCTGCCATATAGTCTGGACATGCAATATTTTTAAAGTTAGTTTTTTACCATGCTATTAATGAAATTAATGGTGTTAATGGAACGAATAGAAAAGTATTTGCATTAGCTATACAAAACTAAACTTTTTGAAAATTTGTAGTGGCATAACAAATACCTATAACCTTGTATATTATATGTGCATTTTATTGTAATACTTAATATTTTTAAGTATTATTAAGATACTTAATATTTTTCTTTACCAGTTTTAATACACTTGTATTTTCTTTATATGATTATATTTGCTCCCTCTGGTGGATAGTTTTAAACAGTGAAAATTCCAGTAATCACAATCAAGAATGGTAGTCTGCCATTTAATGCATAAAATTTGTGACTAGTACAGATAAAAACAATAGCATCTCATGTAAGTTGATTTTGTGTTGTACCACTAACATTTGGCAAATGGCTAAAATGGTTAAAATGGCAATAAAATATGTTGCTCAACTGTTTCAGTGCTCTCCAGCTGTAGCGGCCCTTCCTTCGGCCACATTGCTCATGTTGGTCTGACACAGTTATAAGCTAAAATTTGAGGCCTGACAAGAATGTTACTGAGTTTCAGGAACAGACTCAATTACTAGAATTGACCAACTGAATATAAGTTTTAGCTATTTATCCTGTATGCCTTTTTCCTTCCATCCTTCCCATCATCACGTGTGGCAGTCCTCATGTAGGGTGTGGTGGCTGATCATTTCTACTAGCTGAACTAGGCAGCAAGTCACCAGCAGGAGGTGCCCCATTGCCACTGTGCCACTTGAATATGCAGTTTGCAGTTTGTCATGCTGAAGTTTCTCAGTGGTGTACTTGACTGAAGTGTTCTTATTAAGAGTCATTGGCAGTGGCAGTCCCTCAATTTGAGGATCCCTATCACAGCTCATAGTTAAGGACAACTGTGTCTTAGTCTCCATACCTGGCAAAAAGACCTCTAGTGACATTGGATGTAACAGGTGACTTAAGAGTCCAATCCTTGAGCCACAGACCTGTCTGCAAAAGTTGCAGATCTTTCCACAGGGTAGGCCACAGGCTAGGATTTCTCTCCTTTCCCTTCTTTCATTCTCTCTTTTCTGCCGATTATTAATAGAAATCCTGTTTATTCCGGCAATACTGAATAAACAAACAAAATTGTTTGTTTATTTTTGTTTGTTATTCAAACAAAAATGGGGCCCCAATGTGCTGGCCACTACAAAACCATGTACTATAATACTTTACTTGAAAAGCTTATGCTATAACTAGACAAAAGAGATGGTGCAGGGTCAAGTTGGCAAGATTCACAAAAATAAAAGGAAAGGGAACAATATAATGACAGCGAGCAGCATCCTGTTAGTTCCAGGGTTTTAGGAAATGGGTGGGTTTGTGTAGGAAGGGATCAGCTAAATGGGAGGAGCAAAGAAGCAGGTGATGTGGGTGGAGAAGGAGAATGGCAGTGTGGATTGAAGCTGAGGTAAAGAGACCAGGAGGCAAGGGGGAAAGTATGAGCAAATAGCAAAACAATGCCGGGCAGAGCAAGTCCAGCCCAAACTGCTAAAAGTTCTGCAAACATCTGGAGGGCCCTGCATTGGCTGCTTCTATTCCTTCTACCTGGAGTCTCTGGCTGGCTGTTTTCTGCAGTTTCTCTTCAAGGGTCCTGGGAGGAGGTGGAGGCTCTACCTGGCTGAGTGGGCACTGCATAGTTCTGGGTTCAGGGAAAGCCTGGAAAATTCAGTGCAGGAGTCTCTGCTTTAGCTGCTGCTTTTTCACTTGCAGTATTCCTGTTGTGTTACCTTGTTTGAGGAGCCTTTGTCTGGGAAACAATAGCAGAATGGATTCCTCCATGATCCCAGATGTCAAAATAGCCGTAGGTTTAGCCATAGGAATGAGCAGGGAAGCAAGTACCTTTGTTGCCTCTCCACAAGAATCCAGGAACCTTAATGGGGAAAAGATGGGATAGAGGTTTTATGCCAGAGAGACCATCCCAGTTTCCTGGGAAAGCTTTAGCCTACTATTCCCTTCAGTGTCTCTGGCTATGCACCTCCCCAGAGAAATGCCCTTGTTTTTAACTAAAAATGAGTCAAGGCTAGTTCCCAAAGTTTTGAAGTTTTCAGGCACAGTGTCTCTGATAATTCAGACAGAAAGGCCACCTACTGTATTCTTTGGAAGGGTGCATTTTATAGGCTTCTTGCTCCAGGTCAGTTCCACTGACTGGTTTGCAGTTTTTATGTTCTTCCTGGACAGTACCCTCATTCTGACCTACCTTACTCCATGGATGACAGGTGCTGTCTGAAGTAATTCCCATAATTACGTGCACTGTTATTAGTCCCTATACAGCAGTGCCAAGTGGGAAGGTCCTTTTCTCTTCTCTCAGTCCTGTAGGCTTAGTGGGCCGGGGGGG